TCAGAAGCCTCTTTGAAACTCAAATGGGGAATGGCTCCTAATGGGTTTTATTTTGATTGCTATAAATTGATTAGCGTTAAGATAAACAAGTTTTGTTTCCTTCTGAAAGCTCTGAATATGCTCTGGGGGAGGAGAAGCAGTGGAGTCTGATTGCTTCCCGTTAGGACGTCCTCACTTAGCTCCCACCCCATCACCAGTTTGCACCAGACACACAAGACACTTTTTTTCTCCAGAGGTGGCTAAAGGCGACAGATGCATCATACAGAGAGGCTTTTGCAGTGCTGGAGCAGGACGCAAGTTACAGGAGCAGGTGTGAGCATCCTCGCTGGTTTTCCTGGGCGGGATGTGAAAATGCAGCTTGGTTCTGGAGGGAATCAGTGCAGGCTTGCGTGGCGGAAAGCATGGCCGTGTTTGAAGAGCATGTATGTTTTTTTGGGCTGATTCAGCCTAGCAGCTGTGATGCGTTTGGGAGATGCGCCATTGCAGGAGCATTTCTTCTGGGTGAGGAAACTCAGTGCTGTAACTGTCACCAAACAGAGGAGGACTGTCATGTCCCCAAGACCCCGCTGGGGGATGTGTGGGGCAGGAAAGTCCTGTCGTTGGGCTGAAGCCAGGCATCTGTAGGGCTCACAGGTGAGCTGTGTGTGAGCTGGGGTGAGTGTTGTCTGAGGATCAAGGTGGGGCCCCATGCATGGTACGAGTGGCTCAGGCCATGCTACTGAATGGAACCAACCTGAGAGCCACTGATGGGCTCCCTGCAGCCCACTCTGTGCTCCCTACACCCCTATGTGTGTTCTCTACAACCAGCATTTACTCTGTACAGTCTGTGTATACTCCCTACAGCTGGTGTGTGCTCCCTACAGCCAAATGTGTATTGCTGCAGCCCACTGTGTTCTCCCTGTGCCCCTGTGCATGCTCCCTACGGCCTGTGTGTGCTCCCAATGATGTGCGATGTGTACAGCCCCATGTATGGTCCGTACAGCTGCTGTATGACCCTAAAACCCATATGTGCTGCCTACAGCCTGTGTGTGCTCCTGACAGCCCAGTGTGCATGCCTTACAGCCCCATGTGTGCTCACTATAACACGTGTGCTCTCTATAGCCCCCTGTGCGCTCCCTGTAGCCAGTGTGTGCTCCCTACAATCTATATTTACTCCCTACAGTCCATGTGTGCTCCCCACAGCCCCTGTGTTCCCCCTACAGCCCCATGTGTGCTCCTTACAGCCCCTGAGTGTGTTCCCTACTGCCTGTGTGTAGTTCCTACAGCCCGTGTTCACCCTACAGCTCGTTTGTTTACCCTGTACCCTAGTGTGTGCTCCATATACCCCACATGTGCTTCCCACAGCCCTGTGTGTGCTCCCTACAGCTGGTGAGTGCTTCCTACAGCCTGTGTGTGCACTGCCTGCAACCCCCTCTGCACTCCCTACAGCCATGTGTGCTCCCTACACCCCGTATGTGTACTCCCTACAGCCTGTGTGTGCTCATACAGCCCTGTGTGTGGTTTGTACAGCTGGTGTGTGCTCCCTACAGCCAGTGTGTGCACTCCCTGCAGCCCATGTCTGCTCCCTACAGCCCCATGTGTGCTCCCTACAGCCCCCTGTACTCGGCGCTGGTGAGGCCGCCCCTGGAATGCTGTATCCAGTTTTGGGCCCCTCAATACAAGAAAGACATTGAGGTGCTGGAGCGTGTTCAGAGAGGGGCAACGGAGCTGGGGAAGGGTCTGGAGAACAGGTCTTACGAGGAGTGGCTGAGGGAGCTGCGGTTGTTCAGCCTGGAGAAGAGGAGGCTGAGGGGAGACCTTATCGCTCTCTACAACTCCCTGAAAGGAGGGTGCAGGGAGGTGGGGGTTGGTCTCTTCTCCCATGTAGTTAGCAACAGGACGAGAGGAAATGGGCTCAAGCTGCGCCAGGGGAGGTTTAGGTTGGAAATTAGGAAAAATTTCTTTACGGAAAGGGTGGTCAGGCATTGGAACAGGCTGCCCAGAGAGGTGGTGGAGTCACCATCCCTGGAAGTGTTCAAAAAATGGGCAGAGGTGGCACTTTGGGACATGGTTTAGTCTAGTCTACCCTTGATTGGTTTAGGGTGGACTTGGTAATGTTAGGTTAATGGTTGGACTGGATGATCTTAAAGGTCTTTTCCAACCTAAACGATTATATGATTCTATGATTCTATGTGTGGTTTATACAGCCCATGTGTGCCCCTTCGACCCCCATGTGTGTACTCTGCACAGCGCCTGTCTGTGCTCCCTACAGCCATGAGTGTGTTCCCTGCCACCTGTCTGTGTGCTCCCTACAACATCATGTGTGCTGCCTAAAACCCATTTGTGGTCCATATAGCTGGTATGTGCTCCCTACAGGCAGTGTGTGCTCCCTACAGCTTCATCCGTGTACTCTCTACGGCCCCATGTGTACTCCTATAGCCCTGTGTGCTCCCTACAGCCCCTGTGTGTGTTCCCTGCAGCCTGTCTATGCTCCCTACAGCCCCATCTGCAGTCCGTACAGCTGGTGTGTGCTCCCTTCAGCCTGTGTGTGCTGACTACAGCCCTGTGTGTTCATTCTGCAGCCCCACCATGTAGTCTCTGCAGCGTCTGTGTGCTCCCTACATTTTTGTGTGTGTGCTCTCTACAGCCAGTTTGTCTCCCTACAGTTAATTTGTGCTCCCTACAGGCCTGTGTGTGCTCCCTACAGCCAGCATGTTATCCGTACAGCCCTATGTGTGCTCCCTACATCCCTGTATGCTCCCTTCAGCCTCATGTGTGCTTCCTAACACCCTGTGTGCTCCCTACAACCCACATGTGCTCCCTGCAGTCTGTGTGTGCACCCTACAGCCCATTTGTGCTCCCTACAGCCCCTGTGTGCTCTCTACAGCCTGTGTGTTCTCCCAACTGCCCCATGTGTGCTCCCTACAACCCCTTTTGTTCTCTCTGCAGCCCTGTCTGTACACCCTAGCGTCCCTGTGTGTGCTCCCTAAAGTGGTGTGTGCACCCTACAACCCCATGTGTTCTCCCTACAGCCTGTGTGTGCTCCCTGCAGCCTCTGTGTGTGCACCGTATAACCCTGTGTGCACTCCCTACAGTCCCTGTTTGGGCTCCCTACAGCCACGTGTGGGCTTCGTACAGCCAGTGTGTGCTCTCTACAGCACCTGTGTGCTCTCTGCAATCCCTGTGTGTGCTCCCTACAACCTTTGTTCATACTCCCTGTAGCTCCACCTGTTCCACCATCCATGTGTTTCTCCCTACAGCCCTTATGTGCTCCCTACAGCCTGTGTGTGCTCCCTACAGCCCATCCGTGCTCCCTGCAGCCCTGTATGTGCTCCCTACAGCCTGCCTGTGCTCCCTAGAGCACCATGTGTGATGCCTAGAACCCCATGCAACATGTCCACAGTCCGTAAAGCTGGTGTGTGCTTTCTACAGCCCCCATGAGCTCCCTATAGCCCATCCATGCTCCTTACAGCTCCGTATATGCTCCCTATAGTCCATTTGTGCTCCCTACAGCCAGTGTATCCTCTTTACAGCCCTGCGTGCTTCCTACAATTGCTGTGGCTCCCTACACACCTATGTGTACTCTTGTCCTCCTGTTTGTTTTTTCTTTGCCTTTCCCAGACCAGGCGGGACGGAGGTCCTTGTGGTGATGGAAGGTCACACCATAGAGCTTGGTGGATTTACTTTCTTTGCTTTTGTCTCTCCAGAGTCCTCCAGCCTTCTTTTTTGTGTCCCAACTATGGGCATGATGGTGGGATGGGGCAGCACCATCCTAGTACCTTTTCAAGGCCAAGAGTGAGAGGAAACAAGAATGGTCCTGCATGTCCCCTAGCACGTTATGGACGTGGAAGACAGTGGGTGCCAGTTTTAGGGAGTTCTAGGGGTGGGTCCTGGACAATGCTCAGCTTTCTGACAGTGGCACAGGGGATAGTGTCCAGTAATGAGGTACATGGCAGGTGCTCACAGGTGATGCTGGGGTGTCATGCTGTTCATGATGGCATGGTCTTGCTGCTGGGTGGGGATGGGGATCTCCTGGCTTGTCAGTGGCTGTAGTGTTTCAGGATGGTGGGCAGCATTTTGCTGTCGGTGGCGGCTGTGTCTCTGGGCTGGGTGGTGGTGAAGATCTCACTGTTGGTGGTGCTGAGGATCTCGCTGTTGGTGGTGGCGAGGGTCTTGCTGGTGGTGGTGGTGAGCGTCTCGCTGTTGGTGGTGATGGTGTCTCTGCTGGGAGGTGATGGGGGGCTGTGTATGCCCTCAGAGGAGGCGACCGAGTGGTGTGGTGTGCTCTGCTGTGCATGAAACCCAGGAGATAGGCAGTTCATATTTCTGTAGTGAACAGGGAGCTGACATTAATGAACAGCTAATTAACATTGCAGGGCTTGATGGTTGCAGTGTCAACGTCCCTAATTAGTCTCGCACTAATCCGCTTTAATTAACTGTCCCTGTCACGGTTTTAATTTAATTTTCAGCTCTAGACCAGAGAGAGCAGACCTGTGAGCGTCTGGGTTCCAGTACCACGGCACTGGCTGTACTGGGACAGACTGGTGGGGCAGTGGTGGTCAGCTGGGCATCCTGGCACAGGGGAGAAGCAAGGCTGCTGTGCAACTGTCTGCTTGTGCTTTCCCAGGGATGAGCAACCACCGCTGCATGACCCTTGCCTTACCAGTCCCCAGGCATGTTGCCACCTCTAAGACAGGCTGTGTTGGCTGGACAGGGGATTGCAGATGAGCTGAGGGTCATGTCATGTCGTTAGCTGCCCCCATGCTCTTTCATACTGCTGCTTAGCTGGCATCAACTGTGTTTTATGATGTAGCGAGCTGCCATCCCTTCCCTGTTTTGGTGCAGGGGGAGAGCGTGGCATTGCCCGTGATGCCTGTGCCTGCTCGAGTGTACCGTTTATTGCCTGGAGGAGTCCATAGCCAGGGATGTGCTGCATTGTGTGAGGTCTCCTTGAGACAAGACACAAGAAGCTGGTCACTGCTCCTTGCTTGGCCAACAGGTTTGGAGGGCCTGTGGCCCTTATGCTACTGGGTACGTCTTCATTTGACTTTGGGCATTTCTGTACCAGGAGCTCCCGGTGCAGAGCAGCCACTGACTACTTTTCTTCTCATCATTTTTTTGGTACCTCCTTCCTGCAGCGGACATCCCCTGCACCTTGTGTTAGACCAGCCAGAGACCCAAGAGCCAGCCCTGGCAGCAGGGCCAGCCGGAGAGTACTGGGGACCAGCACAGGAGGAGAGTGGACTCCATGTCCCACTGTGATGAGTGTGAGGGTTGCTGAGATCCTTGCGTGGGAGGATGGGCAGAGAACAAGCTGGGGAAACACTTAATGATGGTTTCCCATGGGACCAGATGAAATCACAGGAACAAAAGGAATGGGGAGAGGTACCCCAGAGAGAGAGGAGGGGGGGAAGTCACCAGGCAGAAGAGCCTTAGCGACCTAGAGATGCTGTGAGGAGCTCATCCCAACAGAGTTACTGTTCACACAAGAGGGTCTACTGGTCCTTGTCCTGCCAAGCAGAGCTCTGCCTTGCAAGCTGACCACAGTCAAGTCTGCATACTCTTGCCCTTGACATTGCCTTTCCATGGAAAACCAGGCTCTGTATCGCAGACGGAGCCAAAAGGAGCTGGGGGGAGGAGAAGACATAGACCTCACCTCGATGAGCCTGGCAGCTCAAGTTTTGCTCATGCAGCCCTAATAATAAGGCAATTCCTTGTTAACATACTTAAATTGCAGCAAGCATCCTGCTAGGATGGGGGATGTAAATGTGTCGGGGTGGAAAGTTTGGGGGTTTGCACTCCATTAGTGAGGACTGCAGCAGGAGCAGGCTGGGGCATGCCTCCCATGCCCCAGCCCAGCTCTGTTTTCCTCTCTCTGCTCCAGTACGGCATCCTTCATCAGGCAGGGCGCAAATCTTCTCAAACACAAGCATCTCCCCGTGGGACCTTCTCAGGGGGCCGTGTTAATCTGTAAGAGCAAGTGGGGCCTTTAAAGTGGGAGTTCATGCTTGGCAGCATCCCAGGGAGCTGCGCAGTCCTGGGCTTGGCTTGGCCGTCTGGATTAGCAGGGCTCTGCCATCTGTCCTGCTCCCAGCCCTGTCTGGAGCTGCTCCAGGTGCCTCGCACTTTAAAGAAAACCCTTCTCCGACCATGGCCCCTGCTCTGAATAACCCAGCTGCTTCCCACCTAGGCAAGCGTGGTTGCGTTCCCTGTCTTCTCTGTAGGTGGAGATCCTTGTGTCAGCCACAGCCACGCTGTGGGCTTTGGGAGAGGCTAAACTTGGGGAAATGCAATGAAGGTCCCTGGAGAAGGACTTTTGGGACCCCTTGCAGCCAGTTGAGCTCAGTGGTTGGGCAGTCTGTGGATTAAGAAGCCTGAATCTATCTGTATTTTTATATGGCTGCTGAGGGACCAGGAAATTGTTGCCATGCTGCCTGTGTGCAGTTCTCACATCACATCCAAGTCTGAGCCAATACGTTGGGCACTTTTTGCCTTCTCCATCTGAGGATCTCGTTGATCTGTTGCTGCAGCTTCATGCCGGGCTGTCACGCTCAGCCCGTTCTCTGCAGCAACCTCTGTTTTTCACCTTGTTTTTTAGTACGTGGCATGTGATGCCAAGGACCACTTTTTGCAGAATAGGGCTGGGAGGTTGCTCAGCCTCACCAGTGCACTGAGTGTCTCTGATCCCACTCTGCAAAGTGACCAGTAAACTAGCAAAACCCCACAACACAAAGAAAATATATCAGAGGACTTTATTTGATGTCACTTGTTCCACTCTTTACACCTGGCAGTGGTGCCATCATCTTGGCCAAGAGAGCTAAGCATCTCTTATCCTTGAAAATCATACGCCGCAATGTTATAGGTGTGTCTGGTCCCCTGAAATTGTCTCACAACGGCTGGCTTCATAAACACCAGCACTCACATCACAGAGTTTTCCTTGACTGACTCTTAAATCTCTTGGGTACAAGTTATTTAATACTGCCTGGCATTGGGAGCTGATCACTGATATTCTTCCTACTTTCAGGGGGAATGGAAAATTTTAAGGAAGTGTTGGTTATGAAACAATCCTTCTCTGTGCATACCCAGTGTTATTATATATCCCTTTCTTTCTGTGTCACAATGGACAATTTTGCCATATTTTGAGGGGAGGCACATATCTTTAATATGGCTTCATTTTTTCTTGCATTCTTCATTTCCATCTTGTTACTGTTAATCTTGCGGGCCCTGTTTTTTGCATTGCCCAGTTTAGCTGCTCTTATCAACCGCTTGTATTTTGTGCTTACTAATTTAAAGCCACTGCTGCCAGTTTGTGACGTTTTAAGATGCATTTTTCTCCTTCACTGTAATTTCTTGGCCAGAATTATTTTTTACTGAAAAATATGAATTGCATTTTCCTGGGGGCAACAACAACTTTTTCTGAGGCAATTTTGGTTATTATTCATGGTGTTTTATTTGTACTTTATGTCCTTGGTGGCTTTGCTGGCATCTCTGGGAACCTGTTCAGTGCTCATGCCACATGCCTGGTGCTGGCAGCAAGCCCTCGAGTGTGGTGGGAGAGCCCCGGCAATCTGGGAAGTTGGGAGGACCCCTGATTTACTGAGAGTTACTTTTAAATGCACAGAGGCAGGAACTGAGTTCAACTTTCATGCAACTGAAACCAGCCAGCATACTCCCAACCTTGTGTTTGAGCAACATCACATTTTTTCCATCTCAGGTTGCTTGTGACAGATTTCCAAGGCCTCCCTACTTTCCAGTGGGAGTATGAAAATCTGGGAGTATGGAAGTATGAAATCTGATGGAGGAGAGCTTTCAGGTGCGGAAGGTGCATTTTGATGCATGCAGGCAAAACCTGCCCAAATAAGGGGAATTACGAGCTGTTGAAAATCGCCTCTTCGCATCTGTGTTTTCTGACAGTGCATGCTTGGCTCTCGGGTCCTGCCATACAACACTGCTTCTGATGGGTATAGACAGATACTTATTTGCTGCTGCTTTTCCCTCAGCAGAGCATCCTCTCGGAGAAAGTTATCAGTGAAATGAGAACTAGGGGACCTAGGGTTCAACCTTCTCCTTCTGATGTCGATCCCCCGCAACCCTCGGTACTGCACAAACACCACTGCCAAATTGATGCATTGAGTGAGGGAATGCTGATGGTAGAAATTGCTCTTGGGTATTTATTCAGCCATGAACCGTTGTTGTTACAAAAGTTGTTACAGTTGTGCAAAATAGGGAGGCTTTATAAAAGATTTCCTAGAAAATAATATATAAAGTCCCTACTTTAACTCTCCTTACATGCACATCCCTGGCACATAGTGATCTTGGCATGGCCACACTGCTTTTTGTCAGTGTACAGGATGGTCAGATCTGCTGTTTGGAAGGAGTTGGGCGTTCTGGTGGTTTTGTGTACTCAGTTCATTGTGCAGCCCCGCATCGTATTTCCTGCTCTCTGTCAAAAATACATGTGTTGATTACAGAGCCGTGGCTTCCTTTCTTGGAATTCTGTGCTCTCTGCCCAGCCTCCGAGTCCCTGGCTCGTGTCAGTAGAAAGAAAGGTTGAATATGTCTGGTGTGAAGCCATAGCAGAGTCAGGTTAAGATGTTACTGTCCTCTGGATTGGTGATGCTACGGGACAGGTTGTCCTCAGATGAGGCTGTGAATGCATAGCCTGTCCAACCAAAACAGATCCTAGGCATCCAGGGTCCCTGAATGCAGTGGCAATGCCAGCAAGGGATGACTGTATGACACAGCCATCCATATTTTCCAAAAAGTCTATTGAATACCGGGAAAAATGTGTTTTTCCAGAGACGTTTCATTTGCCTTGCTTTTATCTTTCTTCCTGCTTCCCTGTCTCCTGATGATGATGTGCTCGGTGATAGCCCCTGTGCACACAGCTGCCTGTTGCTGCAGAAACCGGCGTGCTCCCAAGTCCTGTCTGTCCTATGTGTGGGGGGAAAAAAAAGGCACATGGTTGCATACTGCAAATGACACGACCATGCAGACACACACGAGAGCTTGGGGGCTGGGCAGGGTGGGGAGAGGGCTACTCAGATGGCTTTATTGCTGCATTTCCAAAATTTCTAACACTCAGGTCAGCGTGCTTGAAAAAAACTTTCTTTCCCCATTGCAAATCCTTCCGAGTACAGTACTTTGTGTGTTTCATTTCATCAGCAGTGCTGACATACTGCTCCTAAATAATGCTACAGACCAACAGACCACATAAATGGGGATGGGTGCAGCAACAGACACCGGTGCTCTAGCTATGCCCTCTCTAGGTTAGGGGATGTGGCTCACGGTCAGCCTTGCATTCCCAACACTCCTTCTCCAACCCTGACTTAAAGCTGATGTTGCCCCTGCAGGGATGGACTTCTCAGAGGCTGTCTGTACATCATCATCTCCTCTGGAGCAGGGGGGCTTTAAAGGACCCCCAGCTGTTCGGCAGATCAGCTGCCTGGAGGCACAGTGATTTTGGTTTCTTCTTGCAGTTGCCTTTGCAGGCTAAAACCCAGCAGTTCAAAGTCCATCATACCACATTGCTTCAGCTCAGGTCGTTCGGGAAGCCTTGAAGACATTCCAGGGCCAGGAAGCGTGCCTGTTCGGACGTGAGTGAATCAGAGGTGGCAGGGACAGATGGACTTCTGAAACAGAGCTGGAGTCTCAGGCTGGCGCCATGGTCCATGAGGCATGCGTGGTGACAGCACCAAGGGATTCTGCTTTGGGGAAGGGGACTGTCGCTTTCAAGTGTGATTGATTTAGCAAGGACAGTGAATTTAAGCAAAGTAAAAAAGTGAGGTTTTTTTCCCCAGGCTGCTCCTGCAAACAAGTGCTTGACCTTTGCACTCCTGGTGTAAGTGTCTCTTTTTTGCCTTCAGGCCAGCAGTGCATTTATGTAACCCTGTTCGCTGTGCTTGTACCCGCACAGCCGGGAAGTGGTGTTCCGTTGAGCAGGGGGCAGGCTGGGCATCCCAAAGCTTGACAAGTGGAAGCTCTGGTGGTGATGGGCAGCTAGAGTGACCGGAATGCATGCCAGTCCCTTG